GTTAGCATAAAAAAGATTAAGTACGTTGGAAAAGAAGAAATTAACGTTTTAAATAAATGAATAATTTTTTTTGTGGAAAATCACTCCGTAATGTGCGTTTATTAATATTACAATCTTAGCAAGAATTGTTCAGTGAGGAATTTTGTTATAACCTAACCTAACTAGGGTTGCAATCTTAAAAAGTTCTACTCACTAGTACAACATACGGCCCGCCATTGCCGTTTTTGTGGCCCTTTGCCCATTGACTTTTTGTTAAATATTCTAGATTATAGAAAATACCAACAATGATTTGAATTAAGAGGGTATTTGGATTTGCTTCGTATACATTCATCAGTTCCATTCTTTGACATCGGAACATTCTAAGATTTCACTCACCCTGGCTGCAACAAACGTCTGTAATTTATTATCTGTATTAAGCCAATGTATGACAGTTTTCGAGTCAGACCAGTAGTATGTAGAAGTAATGTTTAACTCCAAATGTTTTAAGACCTCTGATGTCAGCCTCACACCTAAAACAGCTGAAAGCAATTCCAATTTCGGAATGGGGCCACACAAGCTTTGGATGCAACCAAATGTAACTTCTACATCACCTTGCAGATCGATTCGTAAATAAACTGCAGCAGAATAGGCATCTTCACTGGCGTCAACAAATGTATGGATCTCAAGTGTTGTTGCTTCTTTTATTCTTTTTGAGAAGCACCTGGAAATTTTGATATTCATAGCGTGTTTTAGTTCTTTTAACCATTTATTCCATTGGCTGAACATTTTTTTACTAATGAAATCATCCCATCCAAGGTCTCTTTTCCAAATATTTTGCAAAATAATTTTAACTTTAATGGTTATGGGTGACAAAAAACCAACGGGATCATAATCGCTCCGTGCGAAGTCATGGAAAGGGAAGCAAAAGCGATACTAGCGCTAGCTGCGGATAATTCGTGCATTTTAGGGCAATATTTTGTAATTTTGGCATATCAAATACACGTATACATTTTACTTTTTTTCAAAAAAGTAGGTAAAAACAACACAATAAGCAACCGGAGTTGCTGTGTTGAAAATTGTACAAATACTAGCAAAAAAAAACAGTGAAACTTATATAACAAATTTCACTAACAAAGTGGAAATTAAATCAAAGAAATAAATGGATAGGTGTACAATAAGAAAAAAAATTACCTTTATTTTTGTGATAATAACAGTAATGCTGGAAATAGTAGACATCAGAAACTAGAAAGTTTTTAAATAAACAATAAATTATCATTTTACGATGTTCTTTAATATCCCTTTATTCTTAAATGTTCATTCAGCAAGGACTAGATTTTAAGATTTCTGCCGTTGATTATAATATTTGGCTGGTATGCAATTTTGTGACTTACTGATCAGAAACCAGTTTTAATCATTCATTCTATGTTTTCTTTAGAACAAAAATAAAAATATAAGTAGCGATCCTTTTTATACATTTTAACTTCACGCTATTATAAATGGTTTCTTTAATGACAACTTATTAGACTTAGGCAACTTCTCATACATTTTTCAGTAAATACTGTTGCCTGTCTATATTTTATTATTGATTTTGAATGATTATACATAATTTTCTTCAATTTAGGCGTGAAAAATATATAATAATAATAATAAATTAATGTTTTAATTGTTTTATAAATCCATATACTTTTATTAAAACTAACATATATACTTTTTATTTACGAATTCTATTAAAAATTGTATTTGTCAGTATAGGCAGAAATAGTCCTTTAATACCAAAACAAATTGGCGCTGCTGTCGCGCACGGAGCGAATACATACATGGCAACTTGCAGAACTTGGCGTTTAGTAGGAACTTTGGTACAGTTGAAAATATCTTTAGAAACTTTGTGAAATTTTAATTTAAAAGTATAACAATCTTCAACCGGATTCCACAGCACTTACTTGTTTGTCAACTTCTAAATTCATTTATCTAGGTGATATACTATTTTTTGGCAATCGATCTAAAATATTCTTCGAATTGCATAAAAAATTTACAATCTCAAAACCGCCTTGACTATGAATAAATGTTACTTCCTTAATCAGTTGAACTGCTTCATCTACTGTCTCAGTACCATCAAGATAGTCATCCATAGAGTGTTTCTGAATTATTCAATTGACAGCTCTTTCATAGCAATCCCTAAATTGTTCTGCGTTATAATTCTTAACGAATTGTGACAAAAAGGCAAATTAACATTCATATTTCTCCACAAAAAACACTGGGCAAAGCTATCTTTATCAGAAATTCGAACTCTTTTGAACATTTCTCTAATATCGCCAGCAAATGCAATAATGTTTATTTGAAATTTTAGTAGGATACCAAAGAGGATCAGGATCTGTTAATATGAAGTCATTAAGGCAAGATCCTTTTACTTTAGCTTTAGCATCAAAAACTAGACGAGTTTTCTTTGGTTTATTGGGATTTTTTACAGGAAAGTGTGGTATCTTTGTTGATTTTGCAATTGTCGGTAGCTTACTGATTCTGCATACCCTTTATGCAAAAGCTTTTGTATTTCCTCTTCATACGTAGTTGCTAGTTCATTGTTCCTCTGAAAGCGTTTTTCTAAACATTATAGGCGTTGCATCGCCATTGGTTTGGAATTTGGAAATTCTAAATCTCTTTTCGATGGTAATCTTATTTCATACCTACATATCTAGCTTGTTTATAGAGTCTTGTGCTAATGAAATAGCTTGTTCTTCCTCTATTAACCCTTTTTCTTTTTCTATTACCATAGCTACACCAACATTTTCAAGCTTCATATAATTCTTTACCATTTCATGCAATTGGGTATCTGCTTTTTCACAACAGCGAAAGGATATTTCTTTTTCAGATACATTTGAAACGTTTCCAATTGTCCCATGAAGTGTCCATCCAATTTTTGTTTTTGATAGGATTGGAGAAACTGGGGTTGGCTGAACTGCTTGCCTAGAAACAATAAGGTGAGCATTATTTTGCCCTATGAGCAAGGTCGGCTTTTGTATAGTTTTAAGATCTTCAGATACTTGTTTAAGTCAAGTCAAGAGTGTCAAGACTCTTGATTGTTCTGACATTTTGAAGTTTGTAAAAAATCGTATTATTTTTACAAGCAATTTCAGTCTCCACAATTTGAGAATCATCTTCCAAATGATATACTTCACCTGTCTATTTATAACAAAGGGGCGATGTAGGTCCATAAAGTCCGACTTTCGTGGCTGTGTCAGATTCAATCAGCGTTACAGTACTTTCCTAATCAATTAAGGTTCCTCATCAAGTAAGGCTGTGACATCGAAACTACCATTTGGACCTCAAATTTTTATAGGTAAAATTTTCACTAGTAATACCACTAGAGGTCAAATTATTTCCTGATATTAATTTGACCTCGCGTGGTATTCGGTAAGAAAATTCCACGCCGAATTATGGTTGAAAATGAAATATTTTTAAAATTTATTTTTCGTTTCTCAACAATGCAAATTATTTTCTCCAAGTCACCAGTGAAACATAAAAGGTGTTGTCGCCTTGATTGTTGAGTTGTCATGGTAACTAAGTGAGACCCTAACCTCGAATATAATTTCAGTTTTGAAGTTGTCAAGCGGCCCGACGTAAAAAAATGTTTCGCTGCAATTATTTAGGCCTTCAAATTGCTTATTTCTACTCATTGTAGTTGCATGGGAATACCATTTGAAAATAGAAAATAGTATATTCTTTAATTTTACGTAAGTTTTGAATAACTACAAGTGGTAGAAAATTGTTTTTCTGCGTTTTTATTAACATGCGTTATGAGCGCTTTAAAATGGTATGAAATTCATAACCAGCGTCAGCGTCATCAATCGTAGGAGGCTGTGATCATTGTATTTTGACAGTTCAAAACATTAAATAACTCGCGTTTTGTTGCGATAAAGAATATTGCACAGCAAGTAAAACCAACAAAATTACCTATTTGTTTAAAAATGAATCGATTTGAAAATCATACGCTATGCAAAATATGCGTGAAATTGTCTGATGTAATGATCAATCATTGCACCATGACTTACTTACTCGGATTAATAGAGGATTGTGGCTCCAACTTGAAAAACGAAAATTTGTTCCGAATTGTCCACGAATATTTGCACCTAAACTAAGTGCTGAATGGGATAAAGGTGAATAAATTAGTGTCTAAATATTATATATATTTTATTAGACATAGACACATAATTCAAAGCATCCAAAGTCCTGCATTTTCGCCATTAAGAAGAAAAGAAGTGGCCGAAGAATATAGAAAACACCTTAGCATTGTAACTAAAATGTATCAAAACTAAACCTATTATGTGAACAAATAAAAACCAGTCTGTCAAAAATGGTCTGTTATTGTAAACGTCAAAAAATTTCCACTATAATTCGCTGTTGGGTACCCCACGAGAAAAAAAAATCCACTAAAATACCTCCGTTGCCATGGTGATCTGTCAAAAACACGTATTTTGATTGGTTCAAAATTACAGGTGTGGAATTTTCAATAGAATGTTTGGGTTTATTTCTTTGACATGAGTCGTAACTTCAGTATTTCTCGGTATATAAGTTTTTTTTATGTAGAGAACTATGGTGAAACCTTTTGCAATTATTTACACCGCATGATTTCTTTTTTTACAGTTTCCATAATGTTGACGTAAACAGCGGCAGCATGCATGGCATTTTTGTACTATATTCTAGCGTTCTTTTACACTCGCAACCTAGAACTGATTACAATTTTCCAATGCATGTTCATCTTGTTTGCAGATTTTACAAATTTTTCTAGTTACTGGTACTACGTTATTTTTGAGAAGGTTTTCTTCCAATTTTATACCATTTTAGAAGTAGAATCATGAAGGTGAAATGTAGGATTGGTATTTTTGGAAACAAATGAAATTCTTGATATCATCTTTGACATTTGTTGTACCCAGTTTGAAAAATCTTGTAAAGACTCTTTATGATCTTCTACTTTGTGGTCGATCAAGCAATTACCCCATTGTGTTAGCAAGTAAGGAGGTAGTTTGTTAATTAAAATTGCTAATAAATGTCTCATCGACAAAGTTATCCAAATCTTCATTAATTGCAGCTGCCAGATTTTGTACAGTACTATTAAAATTAATAAACGATTCCACACTTTCTACAGAAGAGATTTGGTGTGCTTTGGATAGTATAACTGCTTCGGGTCTTCCGTTCTTTCGTTTTAAAATGATTAATATTTTGTCGGGGTTTCGATCAGTTATAAGAAGCATTTCTACTGATCTCCTGGCTTCACCACTAAGACTATCATTTAGTCTTAGTACATTTTCTCCTGGGGAAAACAAGCAGGCTTTGTCTGATAGCAGAAATTGTGAATAGTAAATAGGCCATTTTAGATGTGAAGATCCATTAAAATTAATTAATTGTTTCCCTACAGTTTGGCGAGCGAACATTGAATTGATTGACTTAGTTAAGTTTTCTACATCATTATTGTGAGAAACAAGAGAATACTCAAGATATTGATGATTTTTTGATACCCATTCTTCCGTATTTCCCAAAGTTGTTGATTTTTCAATACACAAACTTCTCAAATCATTTCTAGAATCTTCTGATTCATTTGAGTCTGAATTTATATTAAAATATTTTTCATATTTACTAAAGAAGGTCTTTTTATTTTCTAATTTAGATTCTAGCAAGTTTAAAAGCTTTTTCTTTTGCTTTATCTCATCTTCTTTGGCTTCTACGTCCTTTTGTTTTAAAAAAATGCTATCTAGAAATTTGTCTATCTCTTCCTGGATTGCTAGTATTTCAGTTTTTCTAGTTTTCTTAGAGGCGGAACTTACATGCATACTCTTACTTTTTGTAGAACCTACTACAGTCGGTCTTTCATAAAATGAGTTACTTTTTTCTACCTCATTGAAATTATTTGACATGACTGTTCTTCCAGAGTAAGGGAGGTGCATGAATAACTCGAAAGGACCAAAAACTATGTTAAATATTCTAGAATATAGAATAAATAGTCTTTATACTTTGACAACTTTCTTTTTTATTATCAATTTGAGATATATAGCAAGCAATATATTTCTAACTCTAATATTAACTTCAACTACAAGATTTTCCGTAACACTTTTTTTTTTAGAGAAGCTCGGGATAGGTTAAAAGCGATGACTTTTTTTTTATGAAGCTCGACAGACCACCTCACTTGGCCCTCGTACGCTTATGGTTTTTGAACTGGCCCTTTGAAAATTTGAGTTGTGCAGGCTTGCCTTAGGGTCTGATAACTTAATTACCCTAAACTTAATAAATTTGTTGTTTCAGTTTAAAAGTCCATGAATTTTTTTGTTTTGCTGTGAATAATAATAGTTAGATGTCACTAATAATACATATAACATAAGATAAGTTGACAAGTATTATTTAGGATCGCTATTGATTGTACAATCAAAAATATTGTGACATCCCGTACATATTTCGTAACTGGTATTGTTTATTTGGCATTCTGGAAATGCGGCTACCTAATCCGAGCTCTTTAGAAAATAATCTCAGGCATTTTCGCGCTTTCCTTGTCCCAATTTACATTTTCATAGCTTAGCCAGATTTTCTACCTGTTTTGGGAATTAGTTATATCCAGAGTTTTTCCATTGTGTGAAATAAGAGATTTCTGCAGATTGGTAGTGCTAAAAAGTTGGATTTTTTTATAAAGTAAAGCGAATATTTTTATTAACTTATTTTTAGGGTTTTTAAATAATTTTTTAGCGAAATAAGTCTTTATTTTGTTACATTTTATTCAGAATTATCGAACATAAAAAACAATATTAGTAATTCATATTATTTATTATTATGCTCCTTAACCATCCTTTGTTTAATCGGGAATTTTGTTTCGGTAGAGGAGCATTTGTTGATGTTTCCATGTTTGTTGAGGTCGAGTTGCGTTGTCTGTAAACATTCCGAATTCGAAATTCACTGAAGCGTCTGAAAATTATCTGCCCCGCTGCACCTGATTTCTCACCCTCCACTTTGTATCCACCTTCATACTGAAAATATCCTCTGGCTGGCCAAGAATCTATCATAATATTTGCACGCCGGGATATTTGTTGTTCTGTTCAAATTTGCTCCTTTTTTCTTCAATTTTGATATAAACACATTGTTTATGTTTAACATAACGCCGAATAGACTAAAGCGCAGTATAAATATGTTTAGAGTAGGTATGTAATACAGTGACTTGATTAGGACAGTGGCGACAATAGATCTTAGAGTTGTTTTACTATTTTTAACTATTAACACTATAGTATATTACATTACGAGTGTGGAAAGTGACATTTTTCACACGAGTGGGAAATATAGTCGCACGAGGCGCAAGCCGAGTGCGACTATCACACGAGTGTAGAAAATCACTTTTCACACAAGTGATGTACAATATTTTTCCTACGACCATAAAATAATGTCATCAAAAAAATGTAAAACCAAGGTTATTATTACTATATTAATTAAAATGTATTTAAAAAAATAATCAACAATAATCGTATTTATTCAATTTTCATATTTTCTAAACAAAAAAAACTAATAAAAAATAAAAAAAAATTCGGCTCCGCCAGGATTTGAACCATAGATTGAACGCGGTCAAAAAATGGCAAAGTTGATAAGTTCGACGTCTAAACCAACTGAACTAATGGGCCTTACGTCAATTAAATGATCTAATCGGTTATGTATTTACCCAAATTAAAGAGCAAACATAATCTTAGTTATTTTTAAATTATTTTAATAATAATTGTTAAAGATAAATATCTAGGATCTAATTTAAAACAATTTCAATAATTTAACAATCATATCGATTTTAGTATTAATATGGACATTACATAGATCAAAATAGAAATTAGGCGTTTGACATTTTTTGACAACTACTGCGGAAAGTAACATATTCTCACTTGGGTGGAAAGTAAATTCTTAGTCATACGCGTGTGATATAGGACACTTTCCATAGGACTATATAGTGTGATATGTGTCACTTTCCTAAGTGGTCGTAGGAAAAAATATTTTCTCTATTATACAGGGTGGCTCACGCTCAACGGGACGGAGCTTTATGGGAAAACGACCAAAGATATAAAAAATTCGTTTGGGAGGAATACGTAGGTTACAGACGGCTACAATTTAAAATTTGTTAGATGTATACAGGATGTCCCACATAAGAAAAAAATATTAGTTCATTAAAAATTATTCAAACAAGAGTAAACAATTAATTTCTGGGAGACTTTTTTTCCTTAAAAATTCAAATAAATCGAAAACTAATAATAATAGTAATAGGAAACCTTTAGTTAACTGACATTATTTTTGATGTAGTTTTTAATTCTAAAATAAAAAACAGGGTGTTCCATTAAAAATAATATAACTTTGTATATTTTCTCTTATGTGGGACATCCTGTATACATCTAACAAATTTTAAATTGTAGCCGTCTGTAATCTACGTATTCCTCCCAAACGAATTTTTTATATCTTTGGTCGTTTTCCCATAAAGCTCCGTTCCGTTAAGCGTGAGCCACCCTGTACTATAGATACCTACCATGCACAATGAAATAGATACTCTATATCATTGTTTACTTATAGTTACGTTTATGAGGTAATTAAAGTCTCGCGGCATACATCTTACTATAATTTAATATTTATTTATAAACCAATGGTAAAAACTAAATATTTGTGGAAAAAACATGATAGAAACAAAATATTTATGAAAAAATACATACCTATTTATATTTTGGTTAATCGTTATCGGTGTAAATAACTTTATTATACACACAAAAAAATTTTACTTTCATTAAGAAATAAAATTGAAAACAGGTTTATATTGAACATATAACTTTTGACTTAAGAGCAGTGGCGGCTTGTGATAATACGAGATGGTAGTGCCAGATTTTTAACAAATGTGAAAACCCCGCCCGAGGCGTCCTGTCGGAGGCCTCCCACCAGAAGCGTACAATTTTTTGATGTGCCACGCCCGAATTTTTAACCAAAAGTTATTTAAAAAACTAGCTTTGGGAAAATATTTTTCACGGTAGATATAAAATTTCAATCAAAAAATTAATGAAGGACGGATACTTTTGTATCTATTATATGACTATTATTTATGAGGTTTTTAACACAAGTTTTGCCACGAAACAGACCGAATTTTAATTATAGAAGGTGCTATTATTTTGTGTTTCTTTTAAGACATCCAGTATGCTTCTACTCTTTTATAAAAGGTTAATAATTGATCTGAAAAATACTTAATAGGCAAGACATTTTAACCATCTATATTACCTAAATAATGAACCGAAAAAAAATATTTCGAAAATAACCTTCCTTCTCTTCCCGAAACACAATCAACTACCTGACAAATCATTCGCCCATCCATCACAAAAATTATTTTCTAACGATTTAGTATAAAAAGATCTATGGACGTGAATTAACAATTACAGCGTGCAAAGGCCAAGCGACTAACAAATTGTCAATGTTGCCACTATTTAATTCCCTGTGTATTTGAAATTCACGTTATTTCGTCTTCTGTTTGCACTTTAAACAATCAACTATAATCCGAATGTGTTGAATGTTGGATTGTTGGGAACGATTCGACTTGCTTGTTTTTAGATCTATCGACGAGTGCCTGAACTAAAATCTTGGTAAAACAGGGTTTGCCGCGTATTTTATTTCTCAATTTTCTCCGTTATTACACTGATTTGAGAATTGGTTTCAACGTAATTGTATTTGATTATTAATAGAGTATTTGCTTTAGTAATTGTTTAAACTTTTACTTTCATTATTATCAAAGTTACATTATTTGTATTAGCGTCAGCAACTGCTCTGATTTATTTCAAAAACGTCTACCAAATCTTAGCTCGTTAATTTGTATAGTTTCAAAATATTAGGAAATAAAATTAAATGCAATTAAACTCTCGCCTTAAATGGAAATAATAAATAGCGTCCTTTTGCTTTGTGTAACTAGACTAGTTTAAAAGCAGCCAATCATTATCTTTCAATAACATTCCTCTTGATCCGACCCGAACTCGCTCGGTGTTCTCCGTCACGTTCGTAAAATGTAAGTGTTTAGGAGTTCTCTGTTTTTACAATTTCTATATCGAGGGAAGTTCTGGGTAAAATACTTTACCGTTTTTTTTTATTTATTATTCTGAAATTAAAATGCTATCTCGGTAGCATTTAAATTCATCTATCCAGATATAATTTGATTAAGACATATATTTTTTTATTAAAAAGCTTAAACGATGTCAAAAGTCGTTTAAGAAACGAATTCAATTTGCGAACTTGGTTAAATTCTACAATTTCACCAGTAAAAACATCAACAAATTAATATTTTATATCTACTAAATAAATAAACAATTCTCAAATAGTTCGACTTCTTTTTACCCTAATATAATGTGAAGTCATGAAATTATAAATAGCATTTTTCTCAGAATACCGAACGTCGAACACCTGTGTTTTCAGGTGCACAGCTGTGCATTGGAACAAAATGAGTGTCCGGCGCATGGTAACGAACCACAAATGACGTATTTCATTATGTCATGATGTTTTTATTGGTTGAAACCGAATAGGTGCGTCAATTATGCCCCGGACACTCATTTCGTCCCAACAGTATATATTAGGGTGAGCTCGACGCGAGGAGTTCAGTTGTATTATTGCCACCAACGAGTCCAGTTGTATTATTGCGACCAACGAGTTCAGTTGTCTTATTGCCACCAAAGTAGTTGTCTTATTGCCACCAACGAGTTCAGTTGTATTTTTGCCATCATCACTCACAGTTGTCTTTGCCAGGTGCTTTCTGCCGACGGCACGTTACTTTCTACATTTTTACAAGCGTTTAATGCATTTTATTTTCTGGTGAAAGTTATATCTTCTACAATTATTATGGCATAAGAAATTCTACAAACAAATGTTTTCAAGTTGGTAACTA